CAGGACTGGCCTGGGGCCGGTCCAAAGGCCTCGGGGGGCCACATCCGGGCCCCCCCCGGGCCTTGGGTTGCCTACCCCTGCCCTAGACCATGCTGGTTTCTCCCCCCAACCCAAAGTCTTTAGAGGAAGTTTTTCATTACCTTCATTTGAGGCTGAGAAAGTGTGACTTGCCCAAGGTCACCCAGCTGGGTTTCCATGGCTGAGGAGGCCTGGTTCTGTGCTCATTTGAAATACTGTGCTCAGTTTTGGGCACAGAAGTTGGAACAGGTTCTGAGAGGGGCAGCCAGGATGCAAAGATGGATGGAGAACATCTAGAAGGAAAGGTTGGAGGAACTAGGCATGGTCAGCTTGATAGAGAGAAGACTGAGAGGGGACACGGTTGCCCCCTTTAAATACCTTAAGAGAGCGGAGGGGGCAGGTTTATTCTCTGCTGCCCCAAAGGGTAGGACCAGGTCTACAGGCAGGTAGATTGCCATTGAACATCGGAAGGAACGTCACTCTTGACAGTGTAGGGGATGAAATAATGTAAAAGAAACCCCAAAGCTCATGGCTAATTCGGGGCTGGATTGGATGACCCTTGAGGTATCATATTCTATGTTTAAAACTGTGCATTTGCAAAGCAGTTTGTAAAAGGCTTCTAGTTTTGGCTTCACTGGAAAAGATAGCAAGGAATGTTGTTTTTTCGACCTTGAAGACAGGCAGACTGTTTCAGAGCCAAAGAAATAAGATCGAACTGGGAGTAAAGTAAGACAACTGAGATGCCAGGCTAGTTCATACATGGCAAGTGGAAGTGTAACGTAATCAGGAGAGGAGGGGATTGGAATTATATTTTGCAACCAATGAAAATGTTGAATTATGCATGCGTTAATGTAATTATAATCTAGCTGTGTAAGATGGTATATAAGGATGTTCATTAGCTGAGGGAGGGGCTCTCAAGTCACAGGGCAAACCTGTCTGAGAGTCCGCCGATAGAAAATAAACTCTACTTTCCTGGATATCCGGAGGGTCTCCGTTCCTGTTGTTTATCCACCACAACAGCAAGAGTGGTTCATCACTGGAATAATTGCCTAGAGACATGGTGGGACCTCCTTCTTGGGACATCATCCAAAATAGGCTGGACAGCTGTCTGCTGGGGATGCTCTAACACAGGGGTAGGCAACCTAAGGTCCAGGGGCCGGATGCGGCCCACCAAGGCCTTTGGACCGGCCCCAGGCCGGTCCTGCCGCCGCCACCCGCCATGATGATATTGATTATTATTGTAATTACTTGTCCTTGGGGTTTTCTTGGCAAAATCTCCACAGGGGTTTTGCCATGGCTTTTCTGGGGCTGAGAGAGTGTGCATGCATATTTTAAAAAAATAATTTTAAATTTTAAATTTTATTTATTTATTTATTTATTTATTTATTTATGGTGCTTCGGCCCCCCAATTGTCTGAGGGACAACAGCCCGGGCCCCGGCTCAAAAAGGTTGCCTACCCCTGCTCCAACAGCTAGAGGCTAGCTGGAGATCCTGCGCTGAGCAGGGGGTTGGAGTTGATGGCCTCTTGGGGACCCTTCCAACTCTCGGATTCTCTGGTTCTATTCCTCTGAAGGTCACTCTCATGAATAATTCAAAGATATAGCCAAGCTAATCTGTAGAATCAATATGCAGAGAGGTCTTGTAGCACCTTTGATACTAACTGAAAGAAAGCTTTCCTAGACGCCAGTCTACTTCCTCTGATGTATTTAGTGGAGTGGAAACCAAGGACAGACATATATAAGCCATTGGTGTGTGAGAATGTCAATTCAAATTCAAAATCCTTTTGTGTATGGAAATGAAGTAGCAAGTCCAGTTTTAGCGATGGTCTTAGTGAACATGGACATTGGGAACTGGCCCATGTGTATGGAAATGAAGAGGCAAGACCATTTTGGCTTTGGAATCTAGCCTGTAGGTGAGAAGAATAGATGCATTTATTTAGTATGTAGAGAGATTTTGTAGCACTTTTGAGACAAACTGAAAGGAAGATATTGGCAGCATGAGCTTTCCTAGACTTCAGTCTACTTCCTCAGATGCTTTTGGAAGTAGACTGAAGTCTAGGAAAGCGCATGCTGCCAACTTCTTTCTTTCAGTTAAGTCTCAAAGGTGCTACAAGATCTCTCTACATACTGGTTCTACAGACTACCATGGCTATATCTTTCAGTTTATTTATGATAGCCTTGTTTAAATATTTTAAAGGGTGTCATATTGAGGATGGAGCAAGCTTGTTTTCTGCTTCTCCAGAG